CAGTTCCACATGGTTGAAGATGAAGAAGAAGAAAAGGCACATCTTACATGGTGGCAGGCAAGAGAGGATGTGCAGGGTAACTGACCTTTAAAAAATCATCAGATCTCATGAGATTTATTCACTATTATGAGAATAGCATGAGAAAAACCTGCCCCAATGATTCAATTTCCTCCTGCTGGGTCCCTCTGATAACACGTGGGGATTATGGGAGCTATAATTCAAGATGAGATTTGGGTGGGGACATAGCCAAACCATATCAATATAATTTATACTATTAGTTTTTCTGTTCTTCCTATGTCCTATGTTTTAAGGTCATACTTACTATAAAAATGGTAACTTGGTAATTATTCATTGAATCACAAAAAAGCATAGGACTATAAGAAGTAAAGCAGACCAATGCTCCATTAAACTTAGTATCCTCGTTAATGAGGATAGCAAAGGGAAGAGTTGGAAACAAATGAAGAAGAAGAGAATATAGGCAGATAGTGAGGGTCTGAGTATAAATTAGGTTTAAGCTGGGGAGAAGTAGAAGCAGAGGAACCAGATGTTGGGGAGAGAGAGGGTCTTGGAAAAGGTTAATTAGTGATAGAAAGTATTGCAAAAGGGGGCCGGGCGCGGTGGCTCAAGCCTGTAATCCCAGCACTTTGGGAGGCCGAGGCGGGTGGATCACGAGGTCAAGAGATCGAGACCATCCTGGTCAACATGGTGAAACCCCGTCTCTACTAAAACTACAAAAAAAAATTAGCTGGGCATGGTGGTGCATGCCTGTAATCCCAGCTACTCGGGAGGCTGAGGCAGGAGAATTGCCTGAACCCAGGAGGCGGAGGTTGCGGTGAGCCGAGATCGTGCCATTGCACTCCAGCCTGGGTAACAAGAGCGAAACTCCGTCTCAAAAAAAAAAAAAAAAAAGAAAGTATTGCAAAAGGTAAAGACTGTGATTCTATGAGAGTTACTCAAGTTCCAGGTAGACAATTTCATAATTGTTATTCAGCACTGCTTAGCATTTGTTCTGTTTGAAGTGAAGAAACTGCATTGTGCAGCCTGTGGATTCTTTCAAGGGAATCATTACCCATCACAATGGTTGCTCATCATGCTTAGAATAACACTCAACTCCTGAACAAGGCTTATATGGCACTAGGAGATATGGTTCATGTCTGTCTCCAACTCATTTCACACACTGGGCTTCTCACTTATTCTTCCGCTGCTATTCCTTTTTGTTCTTCAGTCATTTCAAGCTCATTCCTGCCTCACGGTCTTTGTGCTCAGTAATCCCTCCACTGGAATTCCCTTTACAGAGGTCCCCCCTTATCCACGGGACATACATTTTAAGACCCCAGTGGATGCCTGACCCCATGGATAGTACCGAACCCTACATAGTCTATGTGTTTTCCGATAACCAAGACAGCTACTGGTGACTAATGGGTGGGGAGTGTACACAGCGTTCATCTGCCGGGCAAGGGGGTGACTCATGTCTTGGGCGGAATGGAGCAGGACAGCACAAGGGTTCATCGTGCTACTCAGAATGGTGCGTGCGATTTAAAACTCATGAATTGTTTATTTCTGGATTTTTCCATTTAATATTTTCAGACTTCAGATGACAGTGGGTGATGGAAACTGCAGAAAGTGAAACCTGGGATAAGGGTGGATGACTGCACTCAAATCTTAGCAAGATGATCAGCTCCTTTTTATCATTCAAGTCGCATTTCAATGTCATCTTTTAGAAAGCCCTGGAAAGCAGGGCTTCAGCTCCTTCCACAGCACTGTTTTATTTTCCTAATAGCACTCAGTCCTATCTAGAATTATCCTGTTGACTTGCTTATTGTCTGTTTCTCTCCATAGAAGTTAAGCTCCACAGCAGTGAGGGCCTTGCCTGTCTTACCGTATCAGCCAGTAATAATTGTTATAATTAATTATATATATATCATTATATTATAATTAATTAAATATATAATTATTATAATAATTATTATGAAGGAAAATAGTGATTGTGGGTGATAGGCGAAGGGTTATTTTAGAATGATCAAAGCAGACCTTTCTGAGAAGTCACAGTTCCGTAGACAGCTTACTGAAGCCAGGGAACAAGTCATGGACAGTTGAGGGAAAAGCAATCCCCTAGTAGGTCTGCCAGCAGATGGGAACATGCAGGACCTTGAGAAAAAACAGGGAGATCCATTTTGCGGTAGTGTGAACACTCGAGATGGTGGTAGGAGACGGAATCATAGTGGGAGGCAGGGTCAGCTAGTGAATTCTCTCGCAGGTAATTTGGTTTAAGGGTGACAGTGACATGACTGGGCTTATGTTGTGTGGCATGTGGGTTTGACGCCTATGCAGGGAGACTGTGAGGAGGTCATTGCAGTAATCCAAAGGGAGAGACGCTGGTGGCTAGAGCCACCATGGGATCAAAGAAGATGGCAGAAGGTGGCTGGACTGTGGACCTTCTTTGAAAGTGGAAGTGTTAGGGTTTGGATGGGTGGCTGAGTGGATGCCGTGCTGTTTGCTGAGATAGGGAACACCTGCAGCCCAGGTTTCTGGGGACAGCCCAGGTTTCTGGGGAGAGAGGCTGTGAAGACTCAAGAGCTCCAGGTGTGCCGTGTTGGGTTTTGCAGGTCTTCTAGAATATGGAGTGGAGGTGCCAGGGAAGCAGCAGGGTAAACACTGGAGAAGGGAAGGAAGGGCTAGGGATATAGTTTGGGAAGCCTCGGCGAGTGGATGGCATGTGAAGCTTTGGGAGTAGATGAAATTTGAGAGGTGAGTACAGGGAAAAAAATATCTGTGAGAACAGAGCTGTTGGATACTCAAAATGCTGGATATTGAGAAGAAGATGCAGCCAAGGAAATGGAAAAACGATCAGTGATGTAGGAGGAAAACCTAGAATGTGTTCATCTGTCATAGATGACAGAAGAAAAAAAAAGGATGTGAAAGCCAAGAGAGTGATTTAGTCTGCCAAATTCTACTGAGAGGTCAATTGAGTAGGTTGAGAACTGACCGTGGATGTATGTAGCTGGACATTCATTTTGGGAGATGATGGCAGTACCAGTGAGAGGCAATTTGTTCCTACTCACCCTTGGAGAATACTGGAAACATTCTTCCAACATCAAGAAAGAAGCAAATATTAAAGAAGCCTTTGCAAAAAAGGGAGAAGGTCTTCTCCATTCACACATTCAATGGAAGCTGGCTATGTAATAGATTAAAAAATTATTTTAGCTAATTCTTAAATTCCAGTGGACTAAGTAGCAGAGAACCTAGGCTACGGTGTTGAAAGGTCTATGTTAGAATCCGGCCCATGACTTCCTAGCTGTGTGACTTTGGTCAAGCATCTTAACCTCTCAAAGCCTCAGTTTCCTCAACTTTAACTAACAGAGATAACAATGTTGAACTTGCAGTGTAATGAAGCTAAATGGAATATGTGAAGTTCTTTTACGTAATGTGTGTTTGATAAATGTAGTTGTTGTTAATATTATTATTTATGCCCCATCTACATTGTGAAAGGAGGGAAAGTTAAAATGGGTTATGCTGGCATGAGACCAGAAGAGTGAAGAGCAATGGAGAAGCAGAGGCAAATGATGAAGAGGAAGGAGGTCGCATCAGGAAGCTGGGCAGCTTTACTGGCCATAAGGCTGGACTCGGATAGGGAGATGGGGCAGTTTGGACCAGCAATGTGATGTAACATGGAGACAGTGATAAGTGAAGAAAATCCCAGGGCTTTGTCAGCCACATTTTACGACAGAAGAACTAGAGACAGGCAGGAAAGTAAAATGGCCAGGAAAAAAGTCAGACGTGGCTGAGGAAAGACAAGCGTTATTGTGGAGAGCTGGCAAGTAGCAGACCTTGCCAGGCTTCCCAAAGACCTGATGAGTTTGTCTTTTCACATTTTCGGAGATGTATCCACCTGGGGATATGTGGGGGAAGGTGGGCCCTAATTACAACATTTTCTGCAGTTGCTCCCAAGATTTTTGCATCAGGCACAGTCCTTCCATGCCTTCCAGAGAGAAATATGTAATTATAGTGAAAAGTTAAACTTTATTATTTTTGTAAATAAATAGCACATTCAATAAAGTGTATTAGTGAAAATTCTCCCTCCCACCCTTGTCCCCCAGCTATGCAATTGTCTTTTCCAAAGGTAGCCAGTGCTGTTGTATTTGCTTCTTGAATACATTTATAGAAATATTTCTGATATGTGTAAATATAAAAGGTTTCCCCCTAGGACACAAATAAGGCATGCCATATACACTGTTCAGGATTGTATTTTTTTTCATAATATTCTTTGGAGATTAGTCCTTATCAGTATCCAAAAACCTTCCTTATTTTTCTTTTAACAAGCTACATAAGATTCTATTTTATAGATTTACTGTAATTCACTTAACCAGTCATTCTGGATGGGCACACAGCTCTTGGCAATCTTTCCCTACTGCATAGAGTGCCATGGTGTGGAATCTTTGGCATATGGGAGTCTGCATATGCATGCATAGACATATAGAAGGTAAATTCTAGAAGAGAAATTGCTGAGTCCAAGGGTCCATGTACTGGAATTTTAATAGATTTTACCAAAGTGCCCTTCAAAAAGACTGTGTCAATTTAATCTCCATTAGTAATATAGGAGAGTGCCTGATTTTCCAAACTCAAACACACATTGTTTTATGTAATTTTTTAATATTTGTCAAATTTATAGGCTAAAAATGGTATATTGACATAATTTTATTATGTATTTTTTTGTGAACAGAGTTAAGCATAGTTATTAATGTTTAAGGAACATTTGTATTTACTTTTCTGTAAGATGACTAGTCTATTCTATTGTTGATACATTTTTCTTTTAACACTTTAAATATTTCATTCCATTCTTTTCTTGCTTGCATGGTTTCTGAAGACAAGTCTGATGTAATTCTGACCCTTGTCCACTTTCTGTTGCCATAAACGAATACATGAGACTGAGTAATTTATAAAGAAAAGAGATTTATTCAGCTCATGATTCTGGAGGCTGGGAGGTCCAAGACTGGGCATGTAGATCTGGTCAGTTTCTGGTGAGGGCTTCATGCTGTGGAGTAACATGGCGGATCATGGGTGAGTGCAAAGAGAAAGATGAAGCCAGCTGACCTGCTTTGTAAAGAACTTGCTCTTGAAAGAACTAATCCAGTCTCTTGAGAACTGCATTAATCCCTTCATGAGGGCAAAGTCCCCATGACTCAAACACCTCTTAAAGGCTCCATTATCTCTCAGTACTGTTATGTTGGGAATTAAATTTCACTGTTAATTTTAGAGGGGACAAACCACATCCATAGTATTCTGCCCCTGGACCCCCAAAACTCACATACTTCTTACATGCAAAATACGATCATTCCATCTCCATAATACTGTTGTAAGTCTTTTTTTTTTTTTTTTTTTTTTTTTGAGACGGAGTTTCGCTCTTGTTACCCAGGCTGGAGTGCAATGGCGCGATCTCGGCTCACCGCAACCTCCGCCTCCTGGGTTCAGGCAATTCTCCTGCCTCAGCCTCCGGAGTAGCTGGGATTACAGGCACGCACCACCATGCCCAGCTAATTTTTTGTATTTTTAGTAGAGACGGGGTTTCACCATATTGACCAGGATGGTCTCGATCTCTTGACCTCGTGATCCACCCGCCTCGGCCTCCCAAAGTGCTGGGATTACAGGCTTGAGCCACCGCGCCCGGCCTTTGTTGTAAGTCTTAATGTGTTCCAGCATTAACGCAAAAGTCCAAAGTCTCATCTGAGACTAAGGCAAAGTGCTTCCAGCTGTGAGCCTGTAAAATCAAAACAAATTATCTGCTTCCAAACTACAATGGTGAGATAGGCATGGGGTAGACATTCTCATTCTAAAAGGGAGAAATAAGCAGGAAGAAGGGAGTAACAGGCCCTAAGCAAGCCCCAAATCCAGCAGGGAAGACATAAAATTTTAAAGCTCCGGAAGAATCTTTCATGCCACATGTCACCACATGACACACTGGGCTTGGGATAAACTCCTGAGGCTTCAGGCAGCCCCACCCCGATGACTTTGCTGGGTAAAGGCTATGTGGGCACTCTCTCAGTGTCTGCAACTATCTCAGGCAGGTGTTGCATGCTGCTGGTGGCTCAACAGTTCTGGGGTCTCAGTGGCAGCCCCATTCCTGTGACTCCACGAGGCATTGACAGGTAGGGACTCTGTGGCAGCTCTACTTCTGTGGCAAGTTTCTGCTGTTCCCGTGGGCTTTCTGTGACATCCTTTGAGATCTAGGTGGAGAAAACCATGCCTCCAAAGCTCTTGTATTCTGAATACCTGCAGAGTTAGCACCACATGGACACCACCAAGGCTTATGGTGTGTGCCCTCTTGAACAGTGGCCTGAATTGCACCTGGGCTCATGTGAGCCTTGCCAGGGCAAGGATTGCTTAACTGGGATGTGGGAAGCAGAGTCTGGAGGTCGCCATAGGCATCAAGCCAAGGTTCTGTGTCTGAGATGAAAGGGGCAGCCTCTAAGATCTCTGTAATGCCTTTAGGACCATTCTCCCATTGTCCTGATGAGCAGACCTGGCTTCTTTCTGCCTGTGCTAATCTCTTTAGCGAACAGTTGCCTGGCTGCCTCTTTGTACTGACTTTTTGCTCTCTACATAGCCACACTGTGAATTTTCCAAATCTTTCCACTCTGCTTCCCACTGCTCTTGTAACTCACTGTAAGTAGCCAGAAGTAACCATGCGGTATCTTGAGCACATTCCTACTTAGCTATTCTTCCACCAGGTATTCTAGTTGTCTTTCTTAAATTCCACCTTCCATAAAGCCCTTGGGCATAAATACAATGCAGCCAAGTTCTGTGCAACTGAATAACAAGGATGCCTTTATTCCAGGTTCCAATACCTTGTTCCTCATTTCCATATGAGACCTCATCAGCATGGGTCTCCCTGTCCATATTTCCACCAGAATTCTGGTCACAACCACTTAAGTAATCTCTAAGAAGTTTCAGAATTTCCCTAGTCTTTCTGTCTTTTTCTGATCCCTCACCAGGCTCTCCCTCAATGATTTGCTCACAGGTTAGGCGTTTTCTAGCTGACTTCTTCAAAATTCTGGATACTACCCATTACCTGGTTCCAAAGCTGCATTCACATTTCCAGGCATTTGTTAGAATCGCAACCCCAATGTTGTTACCAATTTTCTGTCTTAGCTCATTTTCTGTTGCTGTAACAGAATACCGCAGACTGAGTACTTTACAAAAGAAAAAGGTTTCTCTAGTCTATAATTTTGAAGGTTGGGCAAGTTAAATTTGGTCACCTTCTGGTAAGGGCCACTTGCTGCATCATACATGGTGGAGAAGTGAAAGGGGAGGCAGGTGCGTGCAAAGAGAAAGACAAAGTGGGCCAACCCACCTTATAACAACTTACTCTTGAGAGAACTAACCAGTCCCATGAGAATTGCATTAATGCCTTTGTGAGGGCAAAGTCCCTATGACTCACCTCTTAAAGGCCCTATTACCTCTCAATCCTGCTGGCAATTAAATTTCAACGAGTTTTGGTGGAGACAAATCACATCCAAACCATAGCCATAGGTAAGGTGTCCCCTGCCCCCCCACCTTAGCTTCTTTCAAGATATTCTCTTTATTTTTGACTGTCTGTGGTTTGAATATATGCCCAGGTGTATATATTTTTTGGTATTTATCCTGCTTAGTGGTCTCTGAGCTTCCTAGTTGGTGGTTTGGGGTCTATCATTAATTTTGAAAAATTCTCAACTATTATTACCTCCAATTTTCTTCTATTTATTTTTCTTTTCTTTCTGGCATACTCATTAGAATATTTATACTTTGTATAATTGTCTCACCGTTTTTCCATATTCTATTTTTTCGATCTTTAAAAAAGTGTCTGCATTTTAGCTTGAAAAGTCTCTGTTGACACCTCTTCAAGCTCCCTAATGATTCTTCAGAGAGAAGAAGAGAGAGCCCTGGTCATATTTCCCTGTGTCCAGTTAACTGTCATTCTCATCAAAGGCATTCTTCATTTCTGTTATAGTGGTTTTTATTTCTACCACTTCTTTTAGATTTTTCCCTTTAGTTTCCATATCTCTGTTGACCTTACCTATCTATTCTTGCATACTGTCCATTTTTCCATTAGTGATTTAGCAAATTAATCATGGTTAAGTTTTCAGTGTGATAATCCCAAAATCTCTGTCATTTTTGAGTTCTTGCTTGTTTTGTCTCTTCAGACTGTACTTTTTTGCCTTTTAGCATGTCTTATAATTTTTTGTGGAAAGCTAGACATGACATATTGAATAAAAGTGACTGAGATAGATAGACTAGTGTGAGGTTTTATATTTATCTGGTGAGGGGTTAGGCCTGCTAACTCTTTGCTCTAGCTATAGATGTCAGAGGCTAAAATGTCATCTGATGTCCCTGTTTTGGTCTAGAGATTCCTGGTGTTTGAACCTTGCAGTTCTTTAAGTCCTAGGGTAGTTTAGCGTAGTTCTAGTGATGTAGTGGTAAGGTGTGGAGGGGTTGCGTTCTGGATCACTATCATTAGGGCGCAGTCTGTTAGTGAGCCTGGGGGTGTATTTCCCTATCCCCATTTCGAAGGCTAGAGGGGGCTGGAGTTGTGTGTTTCCCCTTCCCCATGTTGGTTAGGCCCTGGTCAAACAGTTTTCCTTGAGGGTAGGCCTTGCTAAGAAGAGGGAGCCCTGGGCATATTTAGAAATAGTCACTTTTCCTCTCTTCTTGTGGGAAGTAGAAGAGGATTTTTCTCAGACCTTCACAGGGAGAACCTGGTAGGGTTCCTGGAGGTAAAACTCAGGGAAGTGTGGGGACCCCTGTAAGAAAATTCATAGGAGATTTTTTTGATGAATTCTTGACTCTGAAGCTTGTCACAGTGAGTCTCCAACAATTAGAGTTTAAGGTATTCCCACTGATAGCAGCTCCAGCTGTGTTTTGCTTCTGCTTTGGTAAGCTGTGATTCTCTGTATCAGCCTGTCTGCCTCTCCACTTTTCAGGGCAGCAGTTTTTCCTATGACCTTAATTCTTGATTAATCTAAGAAGAGTTCTTGATTTTCAGTTTATTCAGTTTTTTTCTTGTGTGCATGGGAATGATGACTTCCAAGCACTCTACATGTTGGATCAGACACCAGAAGTCAAATTTTTCTTAATGATTTGTAGGAGCTATATATATATATATATATATATAGGCACTCACATACACACAGACACAGACATACACACATATATATATTTGAGATATGGTCTCACTCTATCACCCAAACTTGAGTGCAGTGGCATGCTCACAGCTCATTGCAGCCTTGACCTCCTGGGCTCAAGCAATCCTCCCACCTCAGCCTCCAAAGTAGCTTGGACTACAGGTGTGTGTCACTACACCCAGCTAATTTTTTAATTTTTGTAGAGACAGGGTCTTGCTCTGTTGTCCAGGCTGGTCTTAAACTCCTGGCCTCAAGTGATCCTCCTGCCTCTGCCTCCCAAAGTGTTGGGATCACAGGCATGAGCCTTTGTGCTGGCCAGCTTTTTATATGTTAGAAAAACGAGTCCTTTATCTTTATATGAGATGCATTTTTTCTCATTTCATCATTTATCTTTTGAATTCGTGTTTTTCTCCCATGCAGTTAAAAAATGTTTTGTGTGTGGTTGCATTTATCAATATTCTCTTTTAGGCATATGGATTCTATGGTACATTTAAAAAGGACTTCATACATCAGATCATAAGGGAATTCTTCCATTGTTTCCTTTAGGACTTGTTATAGTTTTATTTTTTACATTTTAAATATTTGCATTTGGGTTTTATCCTCATGTAAATCATGAAGAATAAATACTATGTATTTTTTAGTTGTCTATTCTGTTGTTTCAAAACTGTTCACTGATCGTTCATTTTTTCCAAATTAGTTGATCACCATATATAGAATTCTAATATGTATTAGGATTTATTTTTATAATTTCTATTCTGTTATTGCTTTATCTGTTTATTCATAGGCTAATATAAATAATTCACATGATACTCTGTTCTAATTATTATAGTTTTAAAAATATTTAAAAATATTGTGTGGCTAGTTACTCCTTAATTTTTCTTGTTAATTAAAAAAATTTATTGTCAACTTTATTTTTCCATATTACCTGCAGCATCAGTTTATCTAATTTTAAAAGTCTTGGCATTTTTATTGTCATCGTTTTTAGATTAATTTAGGAAGGATTACATATTTATGACACTGAGTTTTTCTATCTAAGAATATGATACGCCTTTCAATTTGTTCAGGGCATCTTTTGTATTCCAATAAATATTTTAAAATAAATTTATTTTATTTATTTATTTTTAAGGATAAGAAAAAAGCATACTTTATTCTTTTTCTGCAGTTTTTTTTCTTTTTTTAAAATTTATTTTATTGCATTTTAGGTTTTGGGGTACATGTGAAGGACATGCAAGATTGTTGCATAGGTACACACGTGGCAGTGTGATTTGCTGCCTTCCTCCCCATCACCCCATATTTGGCATTTCTCCCCATGCTATCTCTCCCCAACTCCCCAACCCCCCACTGTCCCTTCCTATTTCCCCCTAACAGACCCCAGTGTGTAGTGCTCCCCTCCCTGTGTCCATGTGTTCTCATTGTTCAACACCCACCTATAAGTGAGAACATGCGGTGTTTGATTTTCTGCTCTTCTGTCAGTTTGCTGAGAATGATGGTTTCCAGGTTCATCCATGTCCCTACAAAGGACCCAAACTCATTGTTTTTGATGTCTGCATAATATTCCATGGTGTATATGTGCCACATTTTCTTTGACCGGTCTATCATTGATGGGCATTTGGGTTGGTTCCAGGTCTTTGCTATTGTACACAGTGCTGCAATGAACATTCGTGTGCACGTGTCCTTATAGTAGAACGATTTATAATCCTTTGGATATATACCCAGTAATGGGATTGCTGGGTCAAATAGAATTTCTATTTCTAGGTCCTTGAGGAATCGCCACACTGTCTTTCACAATGGTTGAACTAATTTACACTCCCACCAACAGTGTAAAAGTGTTCCTATTTCTCCACATCCTCTCCAGCATCTGTTGTCTCCAGAATATTTAATGACCACCATTCTAACTGGCGTGAGATGGTATCTCAATGTAGTTTTGATTTGCATTTCTCTGATGACCAGTGATGATGAGCATTTTTTCATATGTTTGTTAGCCTCATGTATGTCTTCTTTTGTAAAGTGTCTGTTCATATCCTTTGCCCACTTTTGAATGCGTTTGTTTGTTTTTTTTCTTGTAAATCTGTTTCAGTTCTTTGTAAATTCTGGATATCAGCTAAAATAAATTTAAAATAAAAATAAATTTTAAAATAAATTTAAAATAAAAATAAAACTTAAATAAATTTAAAATAAATTTTATTTTATATAAAAAGAAAAAATATATTTAAATATATTTTTATATAAAATAAAATAATATAAAATAAAACAAAATAATATAAAATACAAAATATATTTAAATATATTTTTATATAAAATAAAAATATATTTAAATATAAATTATAAATATATTTAAATATAGTTTAAAAATATTTCTTGGTCAGACCAGGCATGGTGGCTCATGCCTATAATCCCAGAGCTTTGGGAGGCTGAGGCAGGTGGATCATCTGAGGTAAGGAGTTCGAGACAGCCTAGCCAACACGGTGAAACTCTGTCTCTGCTAAAAATACAAAAATTAGCCTGGTGGGTGGCACATGCCTGTAATCCCAGCTACTGGGGAGGCTGAGGCAGGAGAATCGCTTAAACCTGGAGGTGGAGGTTGCAGTGAGTCAAGACTGGGCCACTGCACTCCAGCTTGGGCAACAAGAGTGAAATTCTATCTCAAAAAAAAAAATATATATATATATTTTAATATAAATATATTTAAATATATATGTATTTTAATATAGAAATATATTAATATTTAAACATATATTTTTATATATGTTTATTTATTTATATATTTATATAAATTTATTTATATAAAATATACATACATATATATATATATATATGTTTCTTGGTTGGGAGTGGTGGCTCATGCCTGTAATCCTAGCACTTTGGGAGGCCAAGGTGGGAAGATCACTTAAGCCCAGGAGTTGGAGACCGGCCTGAGCAACATAGTGAGACCTTGTCTCAAAAATCCCTTTTTTTCTTCATATGATCTTCTACCTTTTCTTTGTTGTTAATTTTTTCCTGGGGATCTTATCTCTCCTCTCCTTCCTTTCTTTGCTTTCCTTTCCTTTTTAAAAAACCGATTGTAACTGGGGTCTTTTCTTTCCTTCCTTTTGTCCTTTAGCTAGTCATTGTTTACATACACTCAGTGTAACTGGCTGTTGATGTAAACAAGTATATATGCCCATCATTTATTTCTGTGTATTTATTTTGGGGAGACATGCTATTAAAAATTTAAAAGTATATGCCTGTTATAATTGAGGACAGTGTTGCACAATAAGGATCTCATGTCTATGAACTGGGCTCCACCATTTATTAGCCCTGCGGCAATAGGAATGCTACTTAATTTCCATAAGCCACAGTTTCCTCATTTATAAAATGGGATCAAATAATATCTCAGAGGACAGTTTTCAATATTAGGAAGAGAAAGCACAAAAGCACTTAGCAGGGTGTTGGAAACAGAGTAAGCGGTCAGTAAATGATAGGACCCTACAAGGGTTCTATCCTCATACCATGATGTTCAAACCTAGTTTCTGGGGTCACACTGACTTCAGCCTTCCAAAATCACTCCCCTCCATCCCATGCTCCTGATTGCTCCTAAACAAAAGCCAGTAAGTAGACTGAAGGGTTGTGGGGTGGGGAGGAGGAGAATGAAGGAAAAGGATGGAAGGGTAGAGGCCCGGTGACACCTTTATCATAGAGAAGGAATGAAATGACTCTGTACTGATTTGGATTTTGGGATCCAGGGAATCTGAAGGAAGACAAGCTAATGAACGTGGCAGGGAAGGTGGACCTTTTCCAAAGGGCCACTTCGAATTTGCAGAGGACCTTATAGCTGACAGCTCACTTTAACCTAACTTCACAGCAAAGGGCTAGGCCCAGTGAGAGGGCCTGCAGCCACACAAGGAGTAGGTAGAGGGTCAGATGATGTGTTTCAGATCTGCCGGCTCCCATTCCAGTGCTCATTCCTCTTCATAGCCTTCTTTATTTCTCTTGTCGTTTATTCCCCTCTGGGCCTAAGTACTTAATTAAAAACAGAAAAGACAGATGACAAACGTGATAGAAAACACAGGGAAGGGGAAGGAGGAAAGATAAGAGTTAAAATATTTTGAGAAGAGAGACTCAGGGAGCTTTGGAATTAAAATCAATGATAGTATTGGCTGAATACCCCCATGGGAGAAATCCACGGGGGAACTATATAAGGAATAGTGTAATGATTGCGACTATGTCTTGAGGGTCTATTGTGTGCTGCTTGTTTTGTGTGCATTTTATTTTCCTTTTACTCCTAACAACAGTCTTCCGAGGCAAGGGTTATTAACCCAATTACACCGTGTGCCTGTAGAAGGCAAGGCCTCTGTCTTCTTGGGGAACTAACATCTTTATACTCACTGAGAAGACCTGTAAAATGTACTCATAGTTCTGGACATGGACATGGTTTTGCCAGAGCTGTGAAGGACCTTGAGGATGTCAGCCCTGGCGAGTCAGGGTGAGTGCAGGAAAAATGTGATGTGGCCGGGGCAAGGAAGGACACTGTTTCTATCACTACAATAAGAAAAACCACCAGAGCAAACCAACCAACAAATCCAGGCAGAGAAACCTGACAGAGAAGGCAAAGGGGCGAGGAAGCAGCAAAAGCTTCTTGCAGCTGGAGTTAGGGATGCGTATGAAATGTGGATCAAGCCAACTGCAGTGGGGGAGGCCGCTCAACCTGGGAAAGTGCTCCATCAGCTACTTCGCCCTCTCTCCTACTGCTGCAACGCTTTTTAAAGGGACAGTCACACCCTGCAGGATTCGGAAGCGGAAATGGTCTTTGCTCATTGGATGACAATCTAAATTCAGACCGAAAGAATGTGGTTGGAGACAGCTGGTGGAAATGGTCCCAGTCTTGTCTTCACTGGAAATGTCCGGTGTTCACGTGCTGCTCGTCTCTCTTCTTAAGAAGCGTCTCCCTGTCTCCATCTCTCTCCCTGTGCCTGTCTCTGTTTCTTCCATCGTTTTTTTCCCCCCTAAGTAACCATCTCGGCGCATTGTACCCAACTGCTCGAGGAACGCCCCTGCTGTACCCATCGCTGCTGGCTGCCTCGGTGATTAATGCGAGCGACTCGGGTGGTTTATGAGAAGTGACACTTCCTCCCCAGCTTCTTGTATCTGCTGCCGAGCAGTTAACGTTAAAGCCCGCTCTGTACCTCCGCGGATGTGACTGCTGTAAATACCACGGGGCAGGGCTCTCATGCTTCAGAAACACGTAAGCAAGACGCACCGAGCCAGCCCCGGACACCCAATGACCCTGGACTGCGGCAAAGCGGGGGTGGGAATGGAAGAGGGGAGGACCACCTCGCTCCTCTCTCCTTTCTCCTCGCCCGGGCCGGAGCACGCCTTCCTCCCCGGAGGGCAGGGGAAGGTCGCTCCAGGTCGCTGGCACCTCCAGCGCCCCCGAAATCTGCAAATTCATCGCTCCGGTTCGTCTTCAGGCGAAGCCCTCCCGTCCGGAGTAGGGCCAGCCCCAGTTCTGCTTCTCCAGCCTTTAGCTGACTACTAAGGCGGATCCGACTTCTCCCCCATAAAGAGGTTTTGAATCGCTTCCCCACCGCAGGGGTTCAGTCTCTGCTTTCGACTTTGCTTCTCAGTTGCACGCTCCGCGTCCGGAGCTGCGCTCAAGTCTCAGCAACTTTCACCATCTTGACCTGAGAGTTGGGCCGTTTCTAAGACAATGTGAACAAAGAGGAGCAGGGGGAGGGAAGGGGGGCCCCGCGGGAGGGCTGCGGGCGAGCGTGTGTGTGTGTTGGGGGCGCCGCGCTCCGCGCCCGCGGGCACTGGGGATCCGGCGGCTGGCAGACTGTCCCGGGTGCAGAGCGCGCCGACTCCAGCCTCTCGGGCCGACCCGGCCCGGTAGGGCCCCGGACGGCCCCTGGAAGCGGGTTTCTTTGTCCCTGACTCCCGCTGGGCGCGAAGGCCGCCGGCGGCTAGCAGAAACCCGAGCCCGCGCACCGGAGGTCAGTCTTCCACGTGCGGCCCCGCTGGGGAGAGCAGGAAGGAGCGGCTGCGGCCCGGGGGCGCCCCGCGAGCATCCTGCGTCCGGCCCTCCCGGCTCCACCGCGGGCTTCGGGCGGTTGGAGGGAGACACTAGAACTCGCCTTTCGCTTCCCTGAGCCGAGGTAGGGCTAGGGATGTCGCCGCTCTTCCTAAGGAGCATGGTTTGGGGGCGAGAGGAAGCCCACTGGGGCGCTCCCCGCGACCCAGACTCCCCGAAGACGCGCGCCCGAGTCGAAGTCAGGGACAGAGAAGGTTCTCTGGCGCCCCCCTGCCGACTGCTTGGCGGCCGCCGGGACCCCGGCTGCGGGGCGGGACCTAAACATAGCCCCGACCCAAAGATGCCCAGCAGAACGCTGCAAACAAAACCGAAACGGTGGCCGCATCTGCGTGTGTGTGTGTGTGTGTGTGTGTGTGTGAGAGAGAGAGAGAGAGAGACGGGGAAGGGGGGTTCAGATCCAACCGTCTTACCTGCAACATAGTTTGTGCTTCTGTGTGTGTGTGTGTGTGTGTGTGTGTGTGTGTGTGTGGCAGAAGAATGGAAGAGAAACTGCCACGGCCATCCAAGCCCATTAAATCAACTCCCCTTCCCTCCGACTCTCTCCACTCAGTCATATTCTACAACGCAAGGTTACAGAGCCCACGTGAAAACTAGTTTCCCAGTTTCACTCTGACCCTCCATCCGTGTAGCCAGCTAGATTTTAGGTTATCGGCTTCTATTCCGCAGAACTTCGAGTCTCAGGAGACTCAGGGATTCTTCCTCCCGCCTCGCGCAGTGCATCTTTCATCTGCTTTTCTTTGTAAAGCCAGGGCTCCTCGGCTGCCTCCCCAGGAAGTCCTGCGCTCTGGCGCGCCGCGCCTCGCCTGCCGCAGAGCGGCGCGGGCAGCAGGCCGGGCGCTAGGACCGCGGGGAGCCGGGGCGGCCGCGGCGCTACCTTAAACCCAGCCCAATGCCGCTGCCTGCGCCACTCTGCGCGCCGGCGGGGGCTGCGCAGGAGGAGCGCTCCGCCGGGCTACACCGCTCCGCGAGCCGGCGCGGCAACACCTGTTCGCGGCGGCCAGGGCGGCACGCGAGCTCCCGGACGCGGCTCTCCTCGCTCGCCGCTCGCCGCCCGTTCTAAGCCCATGGACATCTGCCGAGCCTCTGGAGGATCCTGGATACTAGCTTTGGACGCCTAAAGTTTCTTCTTCTTTTTGTTTTATTATTATTATCGTTTTTTGGAGGGGGGACCGGGAGGGGAGATTTGTCGCCGCCACCAACGTGAAATTTTTTTTTTCCCCTTGAAGGATTCATGCTGATGTCTGCAGAGTCGGTTAGAGAGTAAAAACAGCGCATGCCTTCCTGGAGTCAGGATCCGTAAATTCTGACGTAGCCCGTGCATCTTAAAAATCCCTATAATAACGCCTAGGCATTTAAGTTGCTATGGTCATTCTGATCTCAAACCAAATGGAGAAACTACGGATTTTTTTTCCTTATTACTGTCGGATGGGATGAAGACCTTCCTGCCTGCTAAGAGCTGGGGATCTATCTATAGAGATACATAGATATGTTTATCAATATGTCAGTGTGTGAGTATAAAGTGGTGGTTTCTTAGACTATCAGTGGTTTGACCTTGAACCTGTGCCAGTGAAACAGCAGATTACTTTTATTTATGCATTTAATGGATTGAAGAAAAGAACCTTTTTTTTTTTTTTTTCTCTCTCTGCAACTGCAGTAAGGGAGGGGAGTTGGATATACCTCGCCTAATATCTCCTGGGTTGACACCATCATTATCGTTTATTCTTGTGCTCCAAAAGCCGAGTCCTCTGATGGCTCCCTTAGGTGAAGTTGGGAACTATTTCGGTGTGCAGGATGCGGTACCGTTTGGGAATGTGCCCGTGTTGCCGGTGGAGAGCCCGGTTTTGTTAAGTGACCACCTGAGTCAGTCCGACGCAGGGGGGCTCCCCAGGGGACCCGCAGTCACGGACTTGGATCATTTAAAGGGGATTCTCAGGCGGAGGCAGCTATACTGCAGGACTGGATTTCACTTAGAAATCTTCCCCAATGGTACTATCCAGGGAACCAGGAAAGACCACAGCCGATTCGGTAGGTATACCATTAACCCTTTAGTGTCCATGAGATGGCATGTTGGAATTATAACTACCAAGAAGGTGTTGGCCGGGTGGGGAACGTGGGAAGGGATCTCCCCTCCTCCCCCTTTTCTCGGTATCTCTCTTTCTGTGTCTTGCCAGCTCAGGAAAAAATGCCTCCGGAATTGCAGATCTGCTGCTGGCACTGATGCAAGTATACATCAAAAGGCCCCCTACTTTTAATTTAAAGGGGGGCATAATTTATAAATATAATACAAGTTTCCAGTTCTTTTGCATCAGATACACGGGTTTAGGAAGTTTCTTTTGAATGGACTGATCGCACGAGTTTAAAGCTTTAATCATTAACTACTAAGAACTTAATGCAGTTTCCTGGAGGCAGTGGGTATCTTGTGCCCAAATTAAGGTTTTTCACTTTTCCCCTTTCCTGTAATAAGTATACTGCTTGAATTGTGTATTTATTAAGCGCATTGATTATTCCCCCTTGTGAGGGTCTGAAAGCCCCATAGGCAAATGTTGCTGACGGATTGTCCTGTTGGGAGGGCTAAAGTCGTATTTTAGGCTCCGTGAAAACCAGGGACAGAGGCTTTGGGAAAATGACTTGGGAAGGGGCAGGACGCTGGCCAGGGGTGTTTGTTCTTCCCAGCTATCAAGTGCTAATCTCTGCTTTTAAATTTCCATAGCGTGCAGCCGTGTGGGTTTCTTGCTTGGCTCTCTGGTGTGAGTGTGTGCGCGCGTGCAAACGTTGCGAGGTAATTTTAAAGGGCATTCCGAGGATTTCATTTTCAGCGAGGGTTTTTGTGACTCAGCACTGAGGGCTGCAGGCTGGAGGGCTGCTGGCTCTGCCCACTTTATGCCTGCACACACGTGCTTGCCGGGGCACCTGAGCCCAATAGCACGAAGTCAACTAACACACTCCCGATGGGGTGGACTCTCGAGTTTTTTCCTTACTTAAAAAAAAAAAAAAATTAAGCGCCAGTTGGGGCAACCAGACTGTTCGAAGGAGTTAACTTCTGAGTGAACCCACCTGACAACACTTAAACTGGGTCGTAAAAAGCAAAGTCCTGCGGTGATTTTTCTTCCTCATGCTTTAGTGCCAGATGTTGAACACAATCTAAACTATATGTTTAGCTTCGTGCGGCTGCGGATGATGCCAGAAGGTGAGGAGGACTCAGGCCTGGGCTGGGGATAGTCCCAGATCCACGAGGCCCAGGATTTGCTCCTTGTGCTCACCCCTGAGCCTAAGCCCAAAGCTGAGCCTAGTAGTGTGAAATTGCTTGGGCCGTCTCCACTCGCTGCTTAAAAAAAGTTGTAGCTCTTCGCTTTGCAATTATTTCAGTTGAAATATAACTATCCCCTCCCCACCCCATTAGTAAAGGTAGCTTCTGGTTGTTGCAAAGGCAAGACTAAACTTTTACTAAAAGTGCCGTTTCCATCTGGCCTCTTTAAGGGCTGCCACCGTGCCTAGCGTTCGACACCAGAACAACAGGCAGTGGGCGGCCCTGGGTGGGCGAGCGAGTGTGTCCGGGCCCGCGTCGGCCACCCGCGGGGCGTCGGGGCCGCGCCGGCCGAGGCGAGCGGAGTGGGCGGTCGGCCTAGGTGTGCCAGGCGGCCGGAGGCCCAGCCCTCCCGCGCTCGCGGCCGGCAGGTGCCTCCTCGGCCGCCCGGGCCCCGCGGCGCACTTAGCGGCTGCCCGGCCGGCTCCGCGCGGTCCTAAACGCGCTCGTGTTCCGGCTCCCTTTCCGCCTGGCTCGGGTGCGCCCTTCAGAGCTGCGGGGACCGCGGGGGCTGAGGGGCGGCAGGCAGGGGCTGACACACTTCTGGCCGCGTTTAGGGACTCCGGTTTTTCATTTTGGCCCAAGTTGAGCCCCTTCGCTTTCTCTTTGTGTGTGACAGTGGGTCTGGCGGGGCTGACAGCCGCCGCCCGGGGCTGCGCGGTGGTTTGCGGTGTGGGAACGGCTGGAGGCGCGCGCAGCGGCAGGAGACTTGGTGGCGGGGACGGAGGACGGGCTGGAGGTCGGACCCCTGAGCTCCCCTGTCCCATCCCATGCCCCTTCCCTTCTTCTGAAGCACGCAGCCGGGTTTTGGAGACTCCAAGGGCTCCGTGGTGCCCGGGAGGTGGGTCGGGGGCCCCTGGCCGGAGCCGCAGGGGAAGGAGTGGGGGTGGGGGGGACAAAGGGCCGCGGAGGCGGGTGGAGGGGGCGGCGTGCTATTGTTAACCGCTTTCTGAGAGCAGAGCTCGCGAGCTCGCCGATTGCGGTCCAGCTTTCCCGCGCCCCCGCCTCGGCTCCGGCTTCACAACCGGGGGAGCCCGGGGTGCGCGCGGGAGAGCGGCGGGGGCGCACCGCTGCAGGGGCGCCGCGGCGGGCTCGGGCAGGCTTTATTGTGTGGATCAGCCGAGCTTGCCTTTGAGAGACCCTGTTAGAACTGTGGTGCAGCACGACTGGGCCCTGGTGTATAGAGATTATGGGATGTTCTAGTTGGGGCTCCTCCACGGACTCCTTCTCCCATGAGCATTTTTTTTTGGATGCCGTCACCTTTAGGACAGGGCGTTTGCTACACGCAATCGAGTCATTAGAAATCCCGTAACTGTGCTACAGGGGAGAGCGCGGATGCAAGGCCGGGGACCATGCGGGAGGGGAAGGCAGGAGAGGCGCGTTCTGGGGTCAGCGTACGAGGACCGCGGCGGGCTACAGTGGCTCAACAGAGACCTGACGTCAAACAAAAAGCTAGACCCCTCACCCCTAGAGGTCGGAGAAAGGTGTCGCCAAGGAAGTGACATCTCCAGTCCTTAGACACTGTCGGCGCTGTGTTAGGAGGTGGGGACTGGGGGGAGGGGCAAGGAGTAGTGTTGGGTGGGAGGGGGCGGAAGCCCCGGCCCAGTTTGGGGACTGGGGTCGCCGAGCCGCGAGCTAGCCCGTCGGCCTGGCGTCGGCCGAGGGGGAAGGGCGCCCTGGCGTTCCGCTGTGCCACTCACCCTGGCTGGGATGGAGTTGAGTGGGTGGCTGTGCGCAGTGGGGGAGGGGAAGAGGGTGAGGCAGGAGGGTTATTTAAGTCTTTCATCCGGTTGCCGTGAGAAGCTGGCCCCCGGGGTGACAGCAGTGCCGCGGTCTCCCGCTGCTGCCGCTGCGGCAGGTCCCAATATTAGCAACCTCTGCAGAGCGGTGGTGCGTGTGCTGGGAGCCTCCTACCCTCGCCTTCCCAGCCCCGCCCGGAGTGAGGCCGTGGCGGCGCTAGGACCCCGCGGCGCGCGCAGGGAGGGCGGAGGGAGGGCAGGGGCGCCGGGAGGGGGCGAGGGGCTGCGGCGGCCGGGCTCTGGCACACCTGGCGCTCCCGCGCGCCGCCGTGGCCTCACCTTCAGCCCTCCTCCTCCTCCGGGAGCGGCCTCTCCTCCGCAGCAGCCCGGCTCCCCTCTGGGGACTTCGTCCTCACTCTCAGTTTCTCTAGAAAAGAGTAACTGTAGGTGGGGGGCGGAGTGGGTTTACACCTTGATTAAAATAGAAAGCGCATTTTCTACCTGAAATGAAACAGCAGAAGGAAACGTGCTGGAAAAAGGATTTTTGCCGCCCCCAGGCAGCCGCAGGTGACTGCAGCTGCTGGCAAGCTTGGCAGTGACACAGCAGCGGTAGTGCAGGGGACGTGGGGGTGGGGGAGTCTTACTGTTCTAGCAGGAGCTGCAGAGGTGACAACTTAGGTGGGACCTTGAAGGAGCCCTTTGTTTTTTTTCCCTCTGGGGCTGGTGGTGTGGAGGTAAGACTGAACCAGGAGACAAGGAACTGGCAGTTGTATCTCCGTGCAGTAGGCTGGGGAAGCGAGATGTTTTGTTTCATCTGTATATCTACATACCTATGTCTATATATAGCTCACTTTTAAAGCACTCTGGCCTTGCTAAATGGAAAAAAAAGTGGGCAGAAAATCATTTGGGGAAATAATAATGTAAAATAATAAAAACGTGAACACTGGGCCTGATCTGCCATTTAACTTGCTTGGGAAGCCTAACTCTGTTCACCTTTTGGCTGGGTGGTAGCTCTGAAAGGCCAGACTTCATCAAGACCTCAGATGAGCACCCAAACTGGGGCTTCCATTCAAAGGTGGGTCAGGTGAAAGTTTTACTAGAGTGGAGAAATATGGTAGTATTATTTTTTTAAATGGGTATTTAAAAATCTTATTTCCAGGGTTTTACACTTAAAACATTTTTTTTGTTCTATGTATCTGATTCTTCATTGTCTCAGGAAAAGACTGGGTGTTTAAGGAGATGGTTTTAGAATTGCTTCAGGTTCTGGAAAAATTGGTGGGGTCATCCAACTCCATTTCGGTTAGTCATTTTCTATGTCATCTCTGAGATGTGCTCAAGTTGCTACAGATGCGAACTTACCCCGGTTCAGGCTCTGAGATGATTGAACCCGCGGCCCTGGCTGGAGCTTCTTTGGGTGAGCAGGAAGCTCTGCAGGAAAGAGTCTTAATCGCGGATTTTCCACAGCCCCCTGCCTTGCCCCCTCCACAGTCTGCATAATTTGTGTGGTCTGAATGTGTTCTGTAACGTGTTGGGGGCTCTTAGGTCAGAGGGCCATGTCATGAGGGCCACAGTGGAGCAGCTCTGACTGCCTTGCCCTCCCACTGCTGGCCTCACATGGCCTTGGAGGTGAGGCCCAGCACAGATGGGTTCTAGGGGGCGGTGCCAGCTTTGGGTTAATGGTCCATTTGAATGGAACTGGGGCAGCCCGTCAGCTCTGGGGATGGTCACTAATAGTGAGTCTAGGGCAATGAGGAAGGTCCGGTGGGGTCATTTTCCTGAAATAGTCGAGGCATTGACCTGGTCTCTCATGGACTGTAGATGATCTCACACCTCATCAAATTCCATGGGGGCCCAGTGAATGTGTTCTCATTTGGAACTGTTCACTGCTGTGGAAGAGAATAAAGAAATGACAGCAGTTACTGACCCTGTGCTTCCCATGTCACTCTATCACTACCCACTACTGTGGACCTTCTGAGCTAAGATGTCAAGGCTGCGTCTGCCCAAAATAAGGGACAGGCTGCCAATGGTACACATGTGTGCCATAGTTCTAATATTAGGCACAGTCTCATCATTTGCTCATTCCTCCCGGCTTGCTTCCTTCCTTCTTTTCTTTGGTCTTTCCTTCTTTCCTTTTCTCTCTCTTTGATAATTAAACATTCAGATGTCTGTGCACAGAAGGCTTCTCCTGACTGTTATTGGTCCAGCACCCTCTGCTGCCCAGTCACGTGAGCAGATAACATGTGGAGCGTGTCGTACTCAGGGAGTGTAGTTGGAAGCACTTGCTTGGCACCAGCTCCACTCCAGAGAGAGGTGAATGGACCTCGCTGAGGTTATAGAATTTGTTGTGGACGAGAGGGTACCAGGAATGACGAGGTGTCCAGTCTGGTTGGCGTGGGATCCTGTTGCGGGGTTGCCAGATCTTCCTGACCTTGCAACAGTGGTGCCCTTTGCATGGGGAAGAATGACTGTGACTCCTACGTTCAGATAGTCTGCTTGTCCTTGCGTCACTGAGGTGACCACATGAAAAGCTAGGCTGTTCTTTTGAGGTCTCTATTTTTAAGGAGATACAGAGAAATGGGTGGTGGTTTGAGGTGATAAAATCTTTTCCACCTGGGGTCACTGGGTAGTTCCTTCTTGCTTGGATAGCTTTTTGGAGACAAATCTAGGGTGTTTATTTTCTTGGGAAGCCTCTGACTTGCCTTCAGAAACCCAGATGAGCTGCCCGTCTTTGGACTGCCCTTACCCTGAACATCTCCCTCTAACTGCATTTGCCACACTCTTGTTATATTTATCTGTTTATATGTCCTTCTTCCCAACAGATGGTGAGCAATTTGAGGGTGATAGGACCTAGGCTATATCTGGTTCATCTTTATATACTCAATAAATGGCGTGATGCTTAGCTTATAATAGTCCCTTAATAATAGCTTCTTGAATGAAAAAGTGAATGAATGTGAATTACAGCTGTCTTGTCAATGCCAGAAAAAGAAACTAGATAGATATCTTAATATCTTCATTTCCAAATTATATAATAACAATGCTTTCAGAACTCACCTATATGGAACTAGTACAGAAATCACAGAGACATTAAAAAGAGACAAAACCAACTTTAAGATGTGCATAATAGTTAAGGAAATGGGCTTTGGAGTGCAATTGCTTGGGGGCTAATTATTAACCTCCTTAAACCTCAATTTCCCCATTCGTACACTGGGGATTAGAATATTGTAATGCCTAGAGTTGTTCTGAGGATTAAATGATAGAAAGCCTCTCATTTGGCATAGACTGAATGCTCAAGAATTCTCACTTTACAATGATCATTATTGCTGTTATTATTTTTTTTTCTTGATGTTCTGCAGACCAGCCAGTGAAATGGCTTTGTGAAATCACATACACCTTATTATTTGTTGGACCTGATGGGCAACATTGGCTAATATTCATTATTAGTCCTCAGAGTTACCTCATGTGCAAGGAAAACAGAAAGATCATCTTATGCCCGTTTAGAAGCTGCAAATATAAATATCTTTTAGTTTTATGATTAAACATTTCCTCATTGACCTGGTAAATTAAATCGTTCAGACCTCAAAGGGGGCCAATTGTTTTCTGCATTTCATTTTATGATGAAAATTGGACATTAATTAACTCCTTACATCAATTTCAGGGTATATATGGCTCACATTTTGCTGTGCTTTCAGGTAGCTAAGAAGCTACTCACATACTTGTGACTGCTCATAGTAATAAAATACCACATTTTAATTATTTTGGCTCATAAGAATTAGAAGTAGTACAATGAAATAAAATGACTGCATCAAAAAGGGAGTGTATCCAATGAGAAATGAATCTCACGGAAATATTACCTTATTTATATTCCCATTTGCTTTGTGAGTAGGGAAGGCTAGTGATAAACTGGCTTCTTTTAGATGCATCTTCCATCATAGAGTCATAGATTAATAGATTCAAAACAATGTATAATTTCACTTTATATTTTTTCATACGCTGTTTGACATTCTATTAAAATAATTACCTTTGAATCTTTAGATAATCTGTGAACTGTAAGTGCAAGATAAATTTGTTACATTTTGTCCTCATAAATGAATAAAGAATACCCCTTTAGAAGAAATAGCTCTTCTTTTTTACTTCACCTCACCTCGGAAGAGTTTCCTCTTGAGCTAATCCTTTCCTCTATTAGATTTATGCTGTCCTGTCTTCTTTTGATTGCAGCACCAGTGTATTTTGTGAGAGTTGCAAAATTAATTGTTGAAAAATTCATGTAAGTGCTTTTTTATTAGTCACATGAGACTGACTATAGCACATTGTTACCCTAAGTTGTTTTCTGAACTTTTAAATGTAAGTAAAATTTTTAATATTTGAAAGTATTTTTAAAACAACTCAGTATTTGCATTAATAAAAGGGCTACATAAAATGTAGCACTTTACAATAAAAAGGAAAAAAATGTCTGAGTGAAAGTAGGATTAGCAGCGTCCTAAATATACTGTGGGCTAATCATCTGAAAACCACAATATAGTTAGAGAAATTGAAGCTGCTGTTGTGTGGCCATAAAACTCTGGATTTATGCCCAGCTTAGGTGTTATTCTTAGTGAGGTAAGCAAGGGGAAAGAAGGAAGTAAAAGAAGATCATTGTGTTGATTTGATTTTGGGATACAGCATTGCATGCCTACTTTAAATCCTGAGCAGTATTTCTCTCTTCAGAATATTATTATTTTATTTTAATTGCTTAACTATCTCTTTGAGGTTTAGCTAAGTATAGCAAAAGCCAAAACTTTGTTTAAGCAGAAATATTTGGGGTGTATGTAGGAAGTTTTAGTTTTTTAGATAGAGTTAAAAAAAATTATAGAGAGCTGGAGCTGGAGAATCTTCTGTAGAAACCAATCAAGACTTTAGTTAGCACCTCATTCTCTTATTTTGAGAGACATAGATCATTCTCTAAACAGAATGCTTTTTTTTCCCTACTGAAACAGTTATTTATTTCTCCCAGTTCTAAAGGCTGGGAAGTCCAAGAACAAGATACTCACACACAGATTCTTAACTTCATGTTTCTAAAGTGGAAGTAGGTTGTCTTTTTTTTTTCTGTTAAGTATTCTGTTTAGAGAATGGTCTTATGTTTCTCAAAATAAGAGAATCACATACAGATACTTTATGTTTATGAAGTAGACATAGGTTGTCTTTCTCTTAAATTCTACTCTTTTAAGTTAATTAGATTATATTCACACTGGTTTTTCTGTCCTGTTACTTCTTAGCAAACTATGTAGACAGTAGCTTTTTAATTTTTCCAAATGTTTTGTTTATTGTGTAAGTCATGTTAATAAGTATTTTTGTATCATTATGATAAGACAGAATTTAGCTGGAAATCAATTCTTTCAGGCAGTGATTTTAAAAGACACTTCTTTAGCTGGGGTTATCCAAGTGGGGAGCTGGGCTCAGTGTCCTCTCCAAAACCCCAGGGATGCTGCGACTCTAGGGACATGCTCCACGCTCTGACCTGTCCTCTGCCTTCTACCTTTTGTCTACAGGCATTCTGGAATTTATCAGTATAGCAGTGGGCCTGGTCAGCATTCGAGGCGTGGACAGCGGACTCTACCTCGGGATGAATGAGAAGGGGGAGCTGTATGGATCGGTAAGCACTGCAGGGACTTCATCCAGCTTTATGCTCCGTGCTTGATTTGAACAGCTGTCTTTTCTCTAGATTAAAAAGGGCCAGAAATGAAACTGAGTCTGCTTGGAAGGCGAGTGTAAGTTTTTACTTTTTGAGGAAAGCCATTTTATTTTTATTAATAGATAAACAGCTCTGCATCTTCAGTAGACCAAGTTGCTAAGAAAATGCTTTATTTATATGCCAAACCATCTTCATTATCAAGTAAATAAAAAAATGTACAAGTGTGAAAAATCCTATCTTCTTGTTTTGAATGAGAGTTATTTTTGAAATGAATTGAAATGATCTCCTCCTAAGCTTTGCCAAGCATTGTAATTAAAACTAGAAATAGACCACGCAGTGAATCTAAACTCTCTCTGAGCCACATGCAAGATTTTCATTATGCAGAGAAGAAGGGAGATGGAAATTGTTGTCAGATATTTTTGTATGTGAATAAGAATATGACAATATTGTAATTATTTGCAAATGTTATAAATTTATTTTTTTCCACTCGCCATCTCCACTAGGTTGTAAGGTCCTCAGGGGAGACAGTAAAGAAGTATTTATTGTGCCCTGCTAGGTGCCAGGCAGGTACTGTTCTAGGTGCTGAGGTGTGAATGAGACAAGCTTACCCTTCCACTCTGTGGTGGGGACTAACTTTCCATCATAGTATCACTTCACTCCTGCTAATGCAGTACCTAAAACACAGTGCGTGGTACACACAGGGACTTAATAAATTTTTGCTGAATGTGTGAGTATGAATAATATATACTAACTTGGGTTTTCAACATTCAAACTTGTAATGAAATTAATCTTTAGTGTTTCTCTCTTTCTCTTTTTTTTTGAGATAGGTTATTGCTGTTGCCCAGGCTGGAGTGCAGTGGTGTAATTGTAGCTCACTGCAGCCTGGAACTCATGGGCTTAAAAGATCCTCCTTTTTCAGCCTCCTGAGTAGCTGGGACTATGAATGTGCATCACCACACACCCTAATGAAAATTTTTTTTGTAGAGACAAGGTCACGCTATGTTGCTCAGGCTGATCTTGAAGTCCTGGCTTCAAGCGATTCTCTTGCCTTGGTCTCCCAGAGTAATTTATCATTGCAACTACTGGTGGTCAAATGAGAATTTAATCCATGTTATCTGAAATATGAGAACTTTGATTAGAGTTTATAAGATGTTGAAAAGAAAAAAAGCTTAGAATGAGAAAAGTTTTGGAGTTCTCGGTACACAGAAGTGAAGGGCAAAAATTTTTCTAGATGTGCTTTTCTACCATTAGGCTTGTAAAAATATGTATATATAGATACACACACACACACACACACACACATATATATATATATATATATATAATGCTAAAATATATTTGTAAGTATAGGATTGGGTTTGGCTTTTTAAACACAGAACATGGTTTAGGCAAAGTTATTTAGCCCCTAAACGACTTTTGTGATACCTTTAAGTGGGAAGAAAGATAAGATACAACATAAAGGAAACTTTTACATTTAAAAAATAGAAAATGACGTTCTCCTTTTGTCATACCTTCTTTTTTTTTTTTTTTTTTTTTTAGGTACGTAATGTGGATTTCAGTTGAACTCAATAAAAAGCTTTTTGTGTAGAACAGAAGTTCTGACTTTTAGTATGTAGATGGGGCTTTGTTTTATCACAGTGGCCTCCAAACTTGTATCACGTTTCCCCACCAAAAAAATTGTTTTCAATATGCATCTCAAATAAATATAGTATGCTTAATTTGAGTATGCTTCTTAAATATTAAATTATTTTAAATTTGTATATATCAAGTATAGTTTATGTATGCTATTTTATAAGAGATACAGCAAAGTAAACAATTTTAAAGAATAGAATGAATGAGGAAACCTAAATAGGGGCCCTATTACTTGTTTCTTGTTCCAAGGATCACCTTGCACACCCCTCTGAATTTTTCCCAGTTGAGAGATGACCGATCTTTCAGGTGAAATCACCAGCATGATTCAGACTCCTGTGGTTTATTGGTTGACAAGGAGAGCATGTCTGATTTTGTGTTCAGCAAAGCTGCTGGTAGGATTGTTGCCCGGGCTGAGCTTCATCTCTCCTTCTGGATGATTTAAGTGGTTTCTTACTCATGCCTTCCTGCCTGGCACACCCCAGTTCCTAGCACAGTGCCTGGGGCAGCATGAGAGGGACACCGAGTGTAGACCCATGGGGTACCAGTGACAATACTGTGGGAAACAGCTGGAGAACGCCATCTTTCCCATTCTCTAGGAAGCCCACCTGTCTTGTTAGGTTCTCTGTGACACCTGGCTGCCTCTTCTTGGGCTTTTTGAGCACAGACACAGTGTGTGGGCAGGAGTAGGCTTGTCACCACTGCCATACAGCTCACTGACAGTTCAGTCATGGAGTCCCAGCCAGGCAAAGGGCAATAAAAGAAAGGGCAAAAAGGCTCTTCTTCCGCGTGTGCTTGAGAAGCGCACACCTTCTCACGTGAAGAGTGTCCCAGGTGTAGAAACTGCTCCGAGGAATGGTGGCTGCCAGAGACACTTTTCCATATCATGCTTTCCTTGCAGAAACATGTCTTCAGCCACTTCCCTGCATCCCTAGTCTTTTGTCTCCAATCCATTCTCCACACTGATGGCAGAAGTACCTTCAAAACCCAGATAGGAGTGTCACCTGTGCACAGAGATCCTTCGAATACTTGCCTTTGAAGGATACTGCCCACATTCTTTAACGTGGCACCCAGTGCTTAGGATGAACCGCTGCTTGGATCTGCTTGCCGGGAGCACCCCTTGTACCTCCTTACCTTTGCAACTCCAGTCTGTCTATTTGCTGTTCTCCAAACACATTATGCCATCTGATATACATGTGTGTTCAAGTGAATTTCTCTCTCAGATGCCTTTCTCTTGCCTTCTCCACCTGATGAAGCAGGACTTTTTATTTAAGATTCAATGGAAATACCACTTCTTCTGCAAAACCTTCATTACACCCCCAACTCTAACCCTATTTATTCTAGTTAGTATTTCTTGTGTATTTCTTTGGTCCCCGGGAATAGAATACTTTGTTACCTTATTACATAAGTCACAGTACAGTTTACAGTGTAATCGATTGTATTTCTCTGTTTCCTAATGTATCTAAAGGGCATGGACCACATTTTTTTTTAAGGTTTCCTAACACACAACAGTGACGCTTGTACATAGTAGGTGCTTGATGAGTTCTCATTGGGTTGAACTGAATTAAAAGTTATGATTTATTTCTATCCTTCATTAGATGCATAGAAGTGTTCTTGCAGTATGTCCCTTGTATGGTTACTTGTATATTTAGGTCTCCAGTTGAGGAGGAATCACCATCTTCCATTTCTATGCATAATTGGCCTGTGTGTGCCTGTGTAGTCTCCCGTGTGTGTGGCCCAAGGGGGATGAGGCTGATGCTGGAAGAAAGATAGTGCAGTGTCAAGAACATGGTTAACTCTCATTCTGTATCTGCTACGAAGTAGGCAGCAGGCTCTCTTTCTCCTCTTCTGTAAGACGAAGAACTCGAGTTAGACATCTGGAGTGTCTTGTCCCAGTCTGGGTGGATCCCAAGAATTCTGTAGTTTCAGTTTCTCAGGTTTCATTCTCAGGTCTTCTCTGTCTGACCCATGATGTTCTTATGCACACAAAATGTTTGTGCAGTGAGATCTCTTCGCCTCTTTTGTAAGGAGCTGGGAGGGAGGCTCCTGGGTCACAGGTTATTTCCCTTTGGTCTGTTTCCCCTGCAGGCGAGGGGGAGGGCAAGAGTGAAAGTCTTGTTCCTTGGGGGCTGGAGTCTCATATTTCCCACTGGGTTTGTGGTTTTCCTGCCTTGCGTGGTAGTGAGAATGAGGAGTGACAAAAATATCTCATTTTCATTGTGATGAGATTGAGAGAAGGAAAGAAACCGGCAATGGTTGTGTTACTAAACACACTCACATTTGGAGCCTCCAGGCATCTTTATCTGTGTGAAGTTTCATGAAGCTCAGTAAACTAAATTGGAGATTTTTTTTTTTCTAAACAGTTAGAAAAACTTTAAAAATACCGATCTCATTATGAAAGAAGGTAAATAGGAGATTTGTTAAGAGTCATCTTTTATAAAGTAAATGTGTACATATAGTGAAATTCATTTAGATTGTATTTTCCTATTTTGGGATTAATTTTCTCCTTTCATCTATGTAGCTTTTGTTTGCTTGTTTTTGTCCCCAGGTTTACCTTGAGAATAGATCTAAGAGGTCAGAGGTAAATGGGTTAATACTTCTTCAGAAAAATATACAGGATTCTGATATCCTGTTAGAATGTGAAAATAAGAAAAACTATATTGTTAATGGGTATCATGATTTGATTAGAAGGAGAACATGAATAATTCTAACTCAGGCTGGTGTTTGATTATTGTATTCATGTGATAATTTATCCATGTATCCATTCATTTATTTGCTTATTTATTTCACATTTATAGCTACGATTCATCCAGCACTGTGATGAGTGCAAAACAATGAAACAGATATCTATGCTTATAAATAATTCAGGGCAGTGTGAAATTTATCATAGTAGAGGAATGGACAGATGTCTTGGTGTCCCAGAGGAGTGTTTAAATAACTGCTTGGGGAGGTTGAGGGGTAACATTTAAAATGGGTCTTGAGGGATAAATAGGAGCCTCAGAAAAGGAAGGGCAGCCAAGTCAGGCCACATGACCCTTCAAATGTAACGATTAAAATATGCTGCCAGGCTATGCAAGAGGATGTTAGATTACACACACACAAAACACACTGGGCCAGGGGATTAGAGTATTCATTAACATTGGTCACTTTTGTTCTTATCAAAAAGATTAGAAGCATAGCTCTGGTAGGTTGTTACTTTTAGAGTCTTAATCTAAATTGAGTATTATCAAGATACTTAAAAAAATTTTTTTTTTTTTTTTTTGAGACAGAGTGTTTCTCTGTCACCCAGGCTGGAGCGTAGTGGCACAATCTCAGCTCACTGCAACCTCTAC